TATCATATATGATTTTAACCTTACCTGAGGCGCCACTTTTAAATATCATATATGATTTTAACCTTACCTGAGGCGCCACTTTTAAATATCATATATGATTTTAACCTCCCCTGAGACGCCACTTTCAAATATCGTATATGATTTTAACCTTCCTATCTGACTGGCTGTGTGAAATTCCTCCACCACAGCATTTTGTGAAAGATAATTAGAGTGTATAAAACTGAATTTAAGAAAGCCTTCTGGCGCATTATTGCTTGCAGTTATACGGACAGCTCTGCCTGGTCTGAAGCTGTGGGCTGTTTTTAAAAAGACTTCATTTGTCATCTTAGAAGAAGAAAAAATAATAATTTTCAATCAAGTCAGCTTTATAAATTCCTAAATTTCCACAAATGGTTTTGATGAGACCCACTGTGGTGTCTTTGGTGTGGTCCTGTTTGGTTGCTGCTGTTGTTGTAGTTGGTTTTGATGAGATCCACTGTGGTGTCTTTGGTGTGGGCCTGTTGAGTTGCTGCTGTTGTTGTAGTTGGTTTTGATGAGATCCGCTGTGGTGTCTTTGGTGTGGTCCTGTTGAGTTGCTGTTGTTGTTGTAGTTTCATTCTATGGATGTTGTTTAGCTGTGAACATCATTTTTTTTAAATCAAGGAGAATCGATACAATTCCAAACAGGCACGCATCCTTTGACTCAGTTCAGAGATAACGTCATCTGCTACGGCATAAAGAGTCAAATCCTAACGTTGAAATTCATTGTGTTGTGTGCCGTTATATGTTTGTTTTTTGTTTTTTAAATGAATATGTTTCAAGATTAGCTAGTTAGAAAGAACAATACGTAACAAAGGACAGACAAACAAGAAATACAATCATAAAAATAGCACAATTTTTTTTTGTATCCACCGTTTTCACCTTGAAAATAGGTATTTATTTTTAGGATACGGCTATTCGGACCCGAGTCCCTGTAGAAAAAATGGCTATTCGGACACGGAGTGGTTCCGTATAGATTAAATGGCTTCAAACCACGGTGCAGTAGTAGTTTGACATATATTTTTTTTAAAATTATTTTTTTCTCATTATGATTTCATAGATTCATATTCTTTTTAGTTTTTTTTGTTTTCTTTTTGCTTTGTTAAAGTTCTTAGTAGTTTTTTTTCTAATTTTCTTTAATTTTTAGCCATGTTCGTAGATCAAGTTTTTTATTTATATCTAGTAATCAAGATAAAAAGAGATACATTTATTTTCATTAGAATTTTAGAAAAGTAATAATATTAATGTAATTATTAAAATTAAATCCTTCATTAATTTAGATTTATCTGCATTATTTAAGTTAAAAGTAAAATATTTAATTGCACAGTACTTTATGGAATAATTAGGTATTCTAAATGAAAATTTCATTCAAACTGAATTAAATTAAACTATCTCTCTAAAGAGAGCTTGGCTTAATTAGAACAAAACATCACCTTTTCGCTGGCACTGGTAGTAATACACTTGAACATCAACTGTTTTTCCTGATAACTCATTCGTAACTCAAATCTCCTCTCAATAATCTTTCTCATACTTGACTTAATTCACAAGAACGTTGGACTCTCCTCTCAATAATCTTTCTCATACTTGACTTAATTCACAAGACAGTTGGAATGAACATCTTGGAGGATGCAATTGCATAAAGCATGAGAAATTGACTTATTATTTTGAAGAGCTAGTCCCTTTTTTTTTTCAACCATACCTGGCTACTGGGTGTAAAACACAGGCACACGATTTCAAATTTAATAATAAAAAAAAAAAAACTTTAGTAAACGTGGCTTGTAAACATTTTTGTTTAGTTTCTTATTTGAGTTTGTGTACCAGTAGTCCATCAAATAAATTAGGGGCCAGTATCACTCAGTATGGAGTAGGCACCCAATAAAAGTAAAAGATTTCATTTTTAAATTGTTACAAAATATTTAAAAAACTTCCCATGAAACTACTGTTGCAAATGAACATGATAATATAAATATATTATAAAATATTTTAAAGTAAAATGTGAAGAGAAAAAAAATCGATCCCATACTTGGAATTGATCTCAAAGCATAATATCGCTAAGCGGCCACTTTACCACAAAACAACACATGATCGTATTTATCAGCATGGGAACCCGCAGAAAACTTTCTAGGGGTGGGGGGGGGGGCAAAAAAAATCGATTAACTTTCCAGGGTGAGGAGGCAAAATTTTTTTAGTAATGTTTTAATATAGTTTTAATTTACTGTAGCGTATTTGTATGGTGAACGAACGGTGGGGGGGCAAAATTTTTTTAGTAATGTTTTAATATAGTTTTAATTTACTGTAGCGTATTTGTATGGTGAACGAACGGACAGGACATCAGCTTAGTTACTTTCTCTTTATTTTCTCTTTACTTTAATACATTTTTTGTCTATTTTTTTATAAAAAATTTGTATCCAATCAATCCAGGAGGGGGGGGGGGCAAATGCCCCACCTTGCCACTCCCTGCGGGCGCCCATGTTTATCAGGCATATTTTAAAACCAGGCGGATATTTTTGCCGCAGTGCAACCGTCACATGAACAATGGAAAATGGACCCCACGAGCTCAGTCGGGTCCGAATAGCGATTTTGGCTAACGGGACGTAATGGCGTGCCTTTTTTGTTTCTAAAACTGTGATAGTAAATTTGTGATATTGCATAGCCTATATTTTGTGTTTTGTGTAATTTAAAAACACATGTCTTTCTCATGACTTCATTAACAAAAATATATTGGTCAAACTGAATCCACAACATTTGTCCTATCTCCTGGCGTCTCTTTGGCTTTTATCTGGCCGCAGCCGTGTTATAGGAAAGGGGTTTTCAATCCTATGATAGTTATTTTCTTAGAATAAAAATTATGAGGGTCTATGAAATATTCTTTGAAGTAAATATTTTTTTATTTTTTAAATAATCCAGCGGCACCGACAATGAAGTCCTTGGCCCCACTCTTCTTGGTGTGGTCAGCGATAGTCCAGACACAACTGGTGACAGCAGCGTCCTGTACCATGGTCATCGCGGCGCGGATGGGTAGCTACATGGGGACAGAGACGACGGCCATCAACAACATGACGTACTGGTCATTCAGGGGGATCCCTTACGCCAAGCCTCCCCTTGGACAGCTGCGATTTGCCAAGCCAGAGAGGTTGCCTTATCAAGGTCAGTTTAGTGCAACAATAAGATAAGATATAGATAAGATTGTTTATAGATAAGATACAATTATTTTATTGTTCCAAATAAATAGAAATGTTTTTGTTTTTATTACAATGTACCTATATGCATTAAAAGAATTTGTCAAGCGCAACAAATCAGCCGTCATATTCCATAACACGTCACTCCCTAAGCTACTGTATTGAATTTAAGGGAGATCATTTAGATCATGTGACAGCCGAAGTACCACGCTCGGTCCATTGTCCCAGAACCATCATAAAATATAATGGTTGTCACTTGGGACCAGTATATCATTGGTATATAGGACCGGGGGAGGGGGGAGAGAACACAGAATTTTAGCGCCCTCGGTACTTAGTTCTTTAGTTAATTTCTATTCGGTCATTCACAATTACCTACTATTGGCGAGTTGTTGAATAATTTCAGAAACTACACTTGGATATTTGAACTGACATTGGCGAAAAAAAGCTTTAATAACAATATGTAGTTGGGTGGTGTTAAATGCTGATGGCTGTCTATAAACAAAAAGTTTCTTAGCATATTCTAAGGGCCGTCGAGGTGATGGTGAAGGCTTTCACTTAGAGCCGTCGAGGTGATGGTGAAATCTTGCACTTAGAGCCGTCAAGATGATGGTGAAGTCTTTCATTTAGAGCCGTCGAGGTGATGATAAAGTCTTTCACTTAGAGCCGTCGAGGTGATGGTGAAGTCTTTCACTTAGAGCCGTCGAGGTGATGGTGAAGTCTTTCACTTAGAGCCGTCGAGGTGATGTTGAAATCTTTCACTTAGAGCCGTCTGTGTGATGGTGAAGTCCTTCTCTTAGGTCCCTCGAGGTGATGGTGAAGTCTTTCACTTAGGGCCGTCTAGGTGATCGTAAAGTCTTTCTCTTAAGGCCGTCTAGGTGATGGTAAAGTCTTTCTCTTAGGGCCGTCTAGGTGATGGTGAAGTCTTTCTCTTAAGGCCCTCTAGGTGATGGTAAAGTCTTTCACCCAGGGCCGTCGAGGTGATGGTGAAGTCTTTCAGTTAGAGCCGTCTGGGTGAGGGCTAAGCCTTACCAACAGTTCTAGTTAGAAGGCATCTTTTGTAATTCTGGAAAATCTATATGCAAATTTGCTTGGTCAAGTTGCTTGCTCTACTTCATTAAAATAATATTCACGTGATATGCTCTCAAAAAGTATATAACAAAAAATTTAGGAGAGCTGCTCTGAGCAGACTTTAACAAGCCAACCGCTTAATTTGTCTGGCCCCAGGGTCTTGGCTGTATTCACATGTTTAAAAAACAAATATTGACTATGGTATATGCAAATGGGTGGAACCCAGACTATAAATAAAATGTATTTCGTTTTTCATTTCTTTTCTTCATGATACATGTTTTAAAATTAATATTATTATCATTATTAATATATAATTTTACATAGCGTGGTAGCCTAGGAAAAAGATCGTTCAACGTATGTTTTTATGCAAGTCTTAGGGACAGAAAGATTACGCGCATCTGGAGAGGAGCGAAGCTGTCGCAGGGATGAACAGAAAGACAGGACTTCGGTTAGATAGGAAGGGGAGGAATTTGAGAAAAAATTTGTGTCAGAGAACAAAGAGGTTGTACTCCATCCGTGCTTGGACAAGGAGCCAATGAAGTGAATCAAGTAGTGCTGTAACGAGATCACGTTTCTTTTGTTCTGCCTTTAGAACAAGCCTAGCAACTGAGTTTTGACGCTTTGGTAATTTTTGTAAGAATAGTTTTGCTGAAAAAAAATTGAAATAACTGTTACTATCTCCAAAAATCTTCTTCTCATAGAATCTGTGCCCTAATTTCGCTGTTCTCATTCTAAAAAACAGATGGCGTATTTGACGCCACCAGACAAGGTGCCGCCTGCCCACAGAATCCATTTTTTCTCGCCCCAAACGAAAAAGTTTCCGAGGACTGCCTGACCATGAACATCTTTGTCAAAAATCCCAAGTACGCCACCATCAACGCCAAAAAGGTCTTGGTTTGGATACACGGCGGCTCCTACCTCTTCGGCTCCTCCTTCCTCTACGACGCCGGAAGCCTCGTGACGAAACACGACGTCATCGTCGTGACCATCCACTACAGGCTGGGCGTCCTCGGCTTTCTGAGCACCGAAGACGAGGCCAGCCCCGGAAACTACGGTCTGTGGGACCAGGCGCTGGCGATTGAATGGGTCAAAGCCAACATCAGGGATTTCGGCGGCGATCCGGACGACATCGCCATCGCCGGGGAATCGGCGGGAGCCGCCTCTGTTTCGACCCTGTCTATAAGTCCGTATACCGACGGCCTTTTCACAAAGGCGTACTCTCATAGCGGCAGTGCGACATCTTTATTCTCGCGATACACTGATGCTAAAGGTGATGCACTTCTCTTGGCGAAATCCCTAAACTGTACGAAGATTGTTGCCCAAACGTATCTCAGTCCTACGGCGTCCAAAGCTCTGATTCAGTGTCTGAGAACCAAACCCGCCGACCTTCTTGTACCCCCTCCAGAACTTCTTAGAAGTACGTTCGTTCCCCGGGTCGATGGGGACTTTATCCCGAGACCACCGATCGAACTCTTACGTGACTCCCAATACCTGCAGAGCGTTGGATTTTACCGCAGGAAATATCTGGTCGCAATTAACAATAACGAAATGAGCGCCATTGATCCCCGTTACGCGCCCGCCAAGGCCAACTTCTACGCTTCCAGTAATTTGACCACTTCCGCAAAGGATGCGCTGTGGCGGTACTTCGCAATCTACGGCCGCACTGCCGAACGCTTGGAAGTGGCCGAGGCTGACCCAACAGTGGCCGAGGCGGTTGGGAGCTGGTACGAAGACCGATACCCGGGAGAGTCCGGCTACACTCAGGTTTTGAACGACCTGCAGTTCACGATTCCGACCTTCGACGTCCTCAACGCGGTTGCCCTCAACCGGGCCTCGTCCGCCTGGCTGCTGTACTTCAACCACTATCCGAGCTTCATGCGAGGGGAGAGGAGGGGAATGATCCACGCGTTAGATCTGGTCTACTGGTTTGATATCTCCACCGACGTCATCAACAGTTTCGTCGGTGCGGGCGCCGTCGGGGCGTTCAGCGAGGACGAACTCTGGCTGAAGAAATTGTACTCCTCGATCGTTGCCGAATTCATCAAAACTGGGTGAGGAAAAAAAAGACAGTGTGTTAATTTACTCTGTTACTTTCATCTGTTACATTAATTAGTTAATTTAATGTTATTTTCATCACTTACTTTTCCGATAATTTACCCCCCCCCCCTTTTTCTAGATATATTCTTCGTTTTTATATTTCTTTGTTTTTTTAATGTTTCTTCTATTAAAAAAAAGACAGTTTGTTAATTTACTCTGTTACTTTTATCTGTTACATTTATTAGTTAATTTAATGTTTTTTTCATCACTTACTTTTCCGATAATTTTCCCCCCCCCCCCTTTTTCTAGATATATTCTGCGTTTTTATATTTCTTTGTTTTTTTAAAGTTTCTTCTATAGCAAGCTAATTTCATGAGCTAAAAAGCCAATTAACTTAGGGCCTGGTAGTTAGATATACGAATCATTACAGTACAAAAAATTCATTGTTATAAACTGACAATAAGTCCTTCTTCGTGGTAATGTGATCATTTCACGTTTTTGTGTGTCAATGAGATAAACTATAAAAAAAAAATTATTTGAACAAATGCTAGGTTAAACATTTGCGCCTATTTCTCAATTAAAATCTAACTCAGCTCGCAATGAACCATGCTTGAATGTTCCACAGAGAAACACTCCCAGTGCAGCTGTTTCCTCCCAATCCAACCGATAGCCATTGTCCAGGATATCAAAGTTCACCTGTGGCATCTGCTCGAAAATTAGTGTATTTGCCGTATTGGAATTGTGTCGTGTATTGAGTCTGGTATTGAGTCTGGTATTGTGTCTGGTATTGAGTCAATTATTGAGTCTGGTTTTTTGCTGTGGTTTGCGCACGTCCAACGATTACGTTTACGTGTGCAATGGTATTTCACCTAACAAACACGGATGGAGAAAAGGGGGTGGCATTTTCAATCAGTTTGGGCAAAATGCAGACAATTTTCTTTTCGTATAAAGTGGAAAAAGAGGGGGGGGGGGATCTTAGCCTACCCGGGTCAACACCAAGCCTAGCTAGGTCACTGTTTACAACACAGCAACCCGGTCAACCAAATCCAGTGACAAACGTCCTGAGCGTAGGATTGACTTGACCTACTTAGAACCATTGGCGCACACACACGACGCATGACGTTGTTGGGTGTAGATGCTTGAGCTGGTGTAGAAATGGGACCTACGGATACCCTATTGATACTCTATAGATACCCTATAGATACCCTATACATAACCTATATATACTATACATATACCCTATAGACACACCAAAGATACGTTATAGATACGTTATAGATTAGTCTTTAGATATCAGGGCTGGATTGACCATTAGGCAAACAAGGCACGTGCCTAGGGCACCAAGCATTTGGGGGGCACCACAAGTCCTCAAGAAAAATGTGTATATTGTCCCGCTAGCGTAATGGCATGGCATAAGCAAATCGCAATTGTAATATTCAATCGCACATTATTTAACCTTGGTCCCACAACGAAAAGATGGAAGATTCTGAAAGGATGCCTTGTAAATGAAAAGCTGGTAAAGTCCCTTTCCGATACCAGATGGGAAGCACATGCTGTTGCAACTGAAGCTATTCTAAAGTCTTATCCTCAGATTATAGAAGCGTTAGAATGTTTACAAGAAAACCAGTCACAGAAGGGGGACACCAGATGAGAAGCAGAAAACATTGCAAGACGATGCAAGAATTAGAATTTGCTTTCATGCTTGTCTTTTGGGAAGAAGTGTTACAACATTTTCTCAGGGTCAATCAAGCTCTACAAAATGAGCATGTCAACTTGAAAACGCGTGCTGATTTGTACTCTTCACTAGCAGATCACTTGCATGAACCTAGGAATGAATTTGAAAGATTTGAAGACGCCGCAAAAGAAATAACACCAGGTGTGGATTATAAGTCAACTTTGACCCGTAATCGTAAACAAAAGACACTGGTCATTGATGGTGATGCCCCTGAGGTATCTCAGAATGCCAGAGACAAATTTCGTATGTCTGCTTTCTACACCATTGTTGACAAACTTGAGACAGAGATGAGTAGACGAGTACAGGTATATTATGATCTAGCAGTTCGATCTTCTTGTTTGGTCGATGTACCACGAACATCTCAGAGTTGTGAAGGACTAATAGATGCTCATCCTGAAGATCTGATCAATAATTTATATACTGAACAACAACAGTTCCACTCATTTATTCGCCACAAGTTTCGTGCATCAAAATCTGAGAACAGCACGTTCAGTCATGCAGGACTCTACAAAGTAATAGTTCGAGACAACATCGAGTTTGCTTTTCCAAATGTAGAAATCGCCTTGCGCATATTTTTAACATAAATGGTTACGAACTGTTCAAATGAGCGCTCTTTTTCTCAGTTGAAACGTAAAAAAAATCCAAGTAGATCGACAATGAAACAAGAAAGGCTTGATTCCTTATCTTTGCTGATGATTGAGGCAGACTTGTTGCGCAAAATTAACTTTGATGATGTACTCAAAAACTTTGCCAGACGTAAATCTAGAAAAAAGAACTGTAAAATGTAAATGTGTGCTCTCTCTGACTTTCTTATCTATCAAAAAAGTTTCAGTATTTTTGTCTACTATTATTACAAAATTAATTAACTATTAATTTTAATACAGAAATACCTTATTGTAGGTTTTATATGAGTGATAGTAGTACAAACATAATATGTGTTTACATTTCACAATTGTTTTTCTTTGTTAGTTTTTTGCATAATATTGAATATACCAGCAGTCATTGGAGGATCGGGGGCCCGGGGCAGTAGGGGGCATCCATGTGGGTTTGTGCCTAGGGCACCAAGATAGCTTAATCCGGCCCTGTTAGATACCCTATAGATACCTGGGCACGTTTAGACAGGTAAAAATGTAGGTTGTTGACGGGATTCAAAATATGTCACACAAGTCTCACTGGCTGGTAGCATTTTCAACACTCTTGGCTGTCGATGTGATGTGGATAGCCAAATTTTTACTGCACGTGTTGACGAAGATTTATATAAACAGACCTCTTGATCTCATAAAAAATATATTTTCGTGTTGCAGCTATAAAATACTAACAAAATTATGAGAAAAATAATTTATCAAAGTGTGAATCAAGAGCTTTCTATGAATTTTGTGTTAATCAAGAGCTGTCGATCCATTATGTTGGAGCCAAGAGCTGTCTATCCATTTCGTGTGAATCAAGAGCTGTCTATCATTGTTGGTTTGATTGTACCGTTACTAATAAATAGTGCATCTTGCATTCCACAGAAACCCAACTTCTCCACTGCGAGGCCTCACCACAAACCCCTGGTACAGGCATGATCAGAGAGACGCCCCCTTCTTGGACTTTAACTTGAAGCCAGAAGTTCTGACCCGTTTGGCCAGAAGCAACAGAATACTCTGGGAAAAGACGGTGCCCGATTTGGTGTCTGACCTGCAAAACACAAACACCGCTCTAGAGACCGTGATTAAAAGATAGAGACCTAAAACTATGGAGATGCTACAAGTAACATCGTGTGACGTTTTCGGAATGAACAGACATTTCTTCACTGTTCCTTGAAATATCACAAACAAAATTAACGGGGCTATCAATAAGGTTTTAATCTTTATTATATTTACAGCCTGTTCCTCTGTATTTTTTTTTTTTTTTTTTTTTTTTTTTTTACAATTTAAGTGTTGAAAATAATAAAAAGTTCCAAAGCAATAAAGTTTGTGACCAAAATGAACTAAAACTAGCAAAGCATTTAATCCTCTTGGTATTAAAATAAGTATGGTAAATTGTGGGATCAACAGCGTGCAAAAGACAATTCCCGATAAATGCGCTAAATTAGATTCTTAAAAAATATCGCAAGTGCTTTTGGTGCGTAATGTCTTCCTCTGTTTTACGGATGCTGTCTTAATTTAAATATGGTGTAATAAATCTGCGGTGTTAAAGTGGATGGGGCCTTTAGAATATTACTAGTGCTCAGAGGCGGAGGCGTACCTGGGGGAGGGGAAGGGTGTAGCACTCGTTGGGATTGTTCTGAAGCGTGTTACTTTAAGGCACGTTTTGTCAAGTAGCTTTAGCAGCTGGGAGCTTCATGCATTTTCAGCCACCGTTGTTTGGCGGGCTAGAACTGGTTTAAAAAATAATATTAATACCTTATTGCCTTTTTAACGACTTTTCAAAAGTTCGTTGATATTGGGTATATTATGTAGTTATACAGTTTTTCTTTTATTAATTAAAAAAAAAAATTCTTATATTATAAAAGTCTGCATCAATTTATTTAACACAGCTAATTTTTAACTATTAAATATAACTACTTTGGTTGTTCCATATTACTTTCTTTTTATTTTGGTTAAAGCAACACTTTTTAATGAATCTCAGGAGGGTGACGTATCCAGGGGTTGTCTGACGCGACACTTATTTTTTGAACCACCCGCACGGGGCTGTCACTAGGGTTGGGGGCGCCAGGAGTCGGGGGGGGGGGGCAACTTTTTTTTTTATTTGCCGCCTCTTTCGCGGAATAAAACTCTGCTGCTCGCCGCCCTGTCAAGTAAGAAGAACAAAATTTCCGTCCGTGGTGGACCGACCCCCTTCACATAACCCCCCCCCCACCCCCAAGCACCTTTACCTACGCCACTGGACTCGCCACTACATTTTAAATCATTAAATCGATACCTGTGTTTAGACATCAACTAACAGTTCATATCGTCCCCGTTTTATGAAATAATGACCATCGATTAAATGGATTCGATTTCTCTTTGTTTTTTTTTAAACTTTTAAACGAATATCATCCACTCGACCAGTATTATCCCTATGATTATCATTATTGTTAAAGGTAAATTTTTGTAGAATCGATCTGGCTAAACTCTAACCGTAACTTCTCAAAGTTTGATTCGAAGTATCTCGGTCTGCTTTTGAATGCTAAGAAATGCTCTCATTTCGAGGCCTTGTTGACTACTTTAAAAAAAAATGTATATGTATATTTTGGGAGTCCAATTGCTAAAAAAAAAAAAAATTGTTTAAAATATGTTTTTGATTTCTTTCATTTCTTTCA